TTTGTCTCGAAGCATCGTCACGAATTTCCCGACAACAAAGGCCAAGCAACTAGGATACACATACATTATATATCAACTCTCTCAAGAGTAGCTAACAATTCCTTACGCTGACTTTCTAACAACCATAACTACTCATGAAACTTCCACTAACTCTGCAGTCGCTTTGTGCATGCTAATCATACATAACACTGGATTCGATGGACAGTCGAATAATTGATTTTACACTAAGCCCACAACCAGACAAGGAACATGAAATAAGGCTAAATGAAATATTCTCAGGCTATAAAATCTTAGTTATGTACAACCGTAATGCACACACTAAGAAACTACAGTAATAATGTCAGTTTCATATAGCATATCAAAAAATCCCCTAGGTTATCAAGCATCAAAAATCAGGCAATTCTATCATGCAATTCCTGATGATCCCTAGCCTGTAAACTAGCATGTATTTCTAATATATCATCAATACACATAAAACAAGTGTGGGTATCTTGGGGAATAACTCCCCCTGGGCTTCGGCTGATTGTACACATCGCATCCTCTCCTTTTATTATTTTAAAATTAATTATGAAATATTTTGTAGATCCATAATTTGAGTCTAGAATCACACAAGTGTTTATCCAATTCTCTCAAACCATGGCTTTTATACCAACTTGTAACATCCCAAAAACCATGACAATTTTTTTTTTCATTTTTAAAAGATATTTTCATAAATTCAATTTGACAATCATATATTGTTTTCAAATCAAATCCATAAAGAAATCTGAGTATCAAAATAATCCTTCAAACATAAAACAACAGGAGGATGTGTACGATCACGCCTTCGCATTGCCCCGATCATCTGAAGTACCTGAAAACATAAAAACCAACAACTGTAAGCCAAAGCTTAGTGAGTTCCCCCAAAAATACCCCACACAGTAATACATATACAATGCATGCACACCGGACCCATAATATAAAACTGGATTGCCCTGGGCCCACAGTCATAAGAATGGATTACCCCCGGGCCCACATTCACAGGACTGGATTGCCATTGGGCCCACAACACAAGGTTGTATTTCCCCCGAGTTTGTTTGTCCTACAGCATAAAGTTGTACCAACTCAACCCAACCGCACTATGTCGACATATGTATCAAAACAATAACAAGCAAACACAGGTAATCATAACAAATATACCAGTCTAACATACTACTATAACATAACAACATCATACACATAAGGACACATACTGCAGTACAAAGTATAGTGAGAAAACTTACCTTGCAGCCTAGAAGATAACAACATTGATTACAGATCCAATAACCGACACTACAGGTCACCTATACAACAAACAGGGACCAAAACTCAAACTATAGCCCAAAATCCTCAATTTGACCAAAAGTAAAACTTTGTCAAAAACTCAATGGTCAAAGTCAAAATCAACATTTAGAGGTCACTTCAGCCGCTCTCCACGTTGTGACCATCCATTGGTCACGTCGTGGCGGAGTGAGGACAAAATAATCGCGAATCTGATCATCCTTACCTCGTGACAACCAACCCGTCACGTTGTGAGGTTTGCTTTAGACAGCTTAATGGTTAAGCTCTTAATCCTTCAAGCCAAGAAACCAAACTTTCTAGAAGGCTTTCTCCATCTCAAAATACCATAAAAATCATTGTTTTTTAGACATGCATGTCCAATGCATGTCTTAAACACAAGCTAGATCAAGATGTTGGGAAAATGAGATCAAATCCCATGCATGGAACCCAAAGCTCACTAATATTCCAGATTTGGGACAAGGGGTTACAAAAGAGTCTCAATAACTCATAAAGTTGCCAACTTTATGAGATTCCAACACTCAAACTTCCTATAAGAAAAGTAGACCAAAATCTAGATCTAATATGCTTAAGCTAAAAAGGCAGGAACTTAAGGACCTACAAGAGTCTTAATGCATCTCAAGATGATGAATGAGTGGCATGCTAGCTGGGATGATGCAACAAATGCCTTCTCTTATTCTTCAAGGCTTAAAATCACCAAAAAGGAGCTCAAAGATCAATAATGGAGGATTATGGTTTTCTTGAGGGTGAAGGGAGGTGATGGAGGCTAAGAGTGTGCAAACCCTAGCCCTCACTTCCCTTAAATAGGGGCATAAACCCTGAAATTAGGGTTTTGCTTACAAGGGTTGTCACGTCGTGACCACCAACAAGATGCACGTTCCTTACCAGGCATCGTCACGTCGTGACACATATAATCTCACGTCGTGACCAAGGTTTTCATCCTTTACAACTTAATTGATAGTTCAGAAGTGATGCTTACCTGGAATTGGGTGTTACATTGATAAAGTTTGTATTAAAGACCTACAATTGGAATAAGTTTTGACATTATCATATTAGGGAAGATTGTATGGTCAAACCTTATAATCCGATGAGTCAAACTTGTATCACATTGATTTATTCATCGGCGCTATCAGACGATGTCCAAGCTTCACTACAGCGTGACATGTTTCTTTTGAATCAAGTTTCTGATCCATTATCTTTGTGATAAGATCATATTTTGTATAATATATCTCTTATATATAGTAGTTATCTTTGTATTCAAATCCCTGATACATAGGGTTTTGATTCTAGAATAGGCGTTAACCTTGTATATAAGTTACACTAGGTTTTGATGTAGAACAACCGTTTTGTGCATTCTCTCTTTATAAGAAATTCTTAATCGAAATTAGTTTTTGATTAATTATCTTGTTTGTTCGTATTGCTTGATATTATTTCTTTGTTACGATCCTTCAACCACCATTGTTACTATTATCATCTTTAAAAACTATGAGTTTAAAAAATAAATAAAAACAATGTTCAAATATAAAATAAAATCAGTCAAAATAATAAGTAATCTAAAAAACAAAAAAATCAAATAAAAAAACAAACCAAGAAAAAAAAAACTTTAAAAAACCAAATAACTAAATAAATCGAAAAAAAGAGATAGTATAAAGGGCTAATATATATATATATATATATATATATATATATATATATATATATATATATATATATATATAACATTTAAAAAGAACGTAAATGCAATGTTTAATTAAACATTTTTTTGTATATAAGTACGATTTTTCTACATGAATACGTATAATATGAAAAAAATATTTAGGGTAAAAACATAAAAAAATTATAAATTTAAGGGTAAAAATGTAAGAAAAATATAAACTTACCGGGGAAGGGGGGGGGGGAGGGGGTTGAAAATTAATATAATGGTAATCTGAAAAACCTATAACATTTTTTGGAAAATATGAGAGGAAAACAGATATAAAATCAAACTTTAGGTAAACCTACAAGAACCTGGAAACTTAAGGTTTATGTCATTAGCTCTAGTATAAAAACTAAACATTAAGAACATCTTCTAATTTTAGAAACCATTTATTATATTTTGAAACATCTGCTAATTTTAAAAAGAATTTATTATATTTTATGTAAATTAAAAACAAACATTGTTCTCTCTTTTAAAAACAAACATTTTTTTAACATAATTTTATCCACCAACACGTATAAATAATGTAAAAAAAACTTTTTCAAAAAGATAAACACTATATATAATAACCACCCCTCACGTGATAGTTTTGTGACTTGTTTTATATCATAAAAATTAGTTTACAACCCGTGAGAATCACGGTTATACAATTAAAATTCATATATAAATCAGAAAATTAAGAAAATTAAGTTGTTAAAATAAACATATATTATAAAAAAATAAGAAATTATAAAAGAAAATTTAACAAAGTTTTATTAACAATAATAATAAAACATGTTATGATAAATAATATTTTACAAACAATTTATAAATTTCTAAAAACATCTTTATAAATAATATTACAAGTTTTATTTGTAAGTCTATCATGTTTATCTAAAATTAACAATTTTAATCATTCTCTATTTTGAACTCTAGATAGGACAACATACAGAAAGAAATTTGAGGAGCAAAAGCATGGATTTATAGTACCTTGTAGTATGAAATTCGAGGAGGAGAAAAAGAATGCAGAGAGAAAAAGCAAAGGTATTAAAATCGTACTTTATATAACATTGGTGATATGGAAGGTAATGTTGATATGAAAGGTATTCAATACATATTAAAATTAGCTTATCATAACCGTATTTTAGATTTTTGAATGATAAATTATGTTGATTTGGTTAATAATGTTTGCTAATTTTCAGGAATTTCAGGGGTTTGATATGCATACACATGGTAAATAAGCAGGAAAATATATTTCTGAAAATAAGTATATGAACTTATGAAGTTTTTTTTTTCAAACGACAAAAAAATAATTGTAAATAAAAAACTTATAAATTCGTAAAAAAAAATAAAATTAAAGCATGAATATTTTAATACATATGCGGGTCTAATATATCTCTCTTGACGTTGAAAATCTCAAAATCTACTAACATTAATATTTATGGAATTTCTTGAAATGTAAACATAATAAGTGTAACAAAATTTGGTAAATATCCCTTAATCGGGGGATAGATGCGGTGAGTAATATTAACATATTTTGTTGACATATAAGAATTTATGAGTATTTATGAGTATGAGTTGTAAAATGAAATTCAAATTGAAGAACCAAAACAATGACACGTGGCGTATTATTGATTTAATAGCTTGACACATGACAAAATGAGATTAACCATATTCATTTATTAGATAGAAAGAAAAGATACAAAGGCAGATAATTGAGGTTTATGCATAATTGTAGTCAAAAATTCGAAAATAAGTTTCTTTGGGGGAGTGATATATAAAATTATAAACAAACTAGAACTAGAGGGAGGTTGGGTTCCTTGCACCCAAGGTTCACTTAGGTTCGGAGTTAGGCTCGTAAGTGGTTCATTTACATTAAATTGCGTGAGCAGATAAGAACGACCCACCCACCCAAATTTTCTCATTTTCTTCTACAAGTACCCTCTCAATTCTTCGCCGCCTCCACTTCCCCCCACTCTCTCTCGCTCAACATCTCTTTCTCTCTCTCTCTCTCTCTCTCTCTCTCTCTCTCTCGCTCGCTCTCTAGCTCTAAACTCACACCGCCACCACCACCACCGCTGTTGCTGCCGTTGTTATTCTCAAACTGGCGATCGTTAATCAAGAAGCCACCATCGTTCGTGAAATCAAACCCAAGAACCGCCGGATTATGGTAAGTATATTGATGGGTTTATTTGTGTTTTTTTTTTGTTTGGATTGGTTTTGATTTTGTGGGAATAATGTAGGGTGCCGGAGGACCTGATGAAGAAGAACAAAAGTGGCCGCCATGGTTGAAACCGATGCTTCGAGAAAGCTTCTTTGTTCAATGCAAATTACACGCAGATTCGCACAAGTCTGAATGCAATATGTACTGCTTGGATTGCATGAATGGCCCTCTTTGTTCTCTCTGTCTCAATCACCACAAGGATCATCGTGCTATTCAGGTATATATTCTCCCCTTTTCTCCATTGATTCTCCCTTTTTTCTTCAATAAAATTTGACTTTTATGAGTTTATCATCTACTACCCTTTAACCATTTTTCGATTTTAACATCTCGGTTTTTTCTAATTTCATTTACAATCAGCTTTTACCAATTTCAATTTGAATACCAGATTTCAATCGCTCCATTTATCAATTACTTCATTATTAATTTTGTTTTCTTCTGAACAGCTTTATGCTAACCGATTTTGACTTTTCGTTTTTGAATTTAGTCATGTGGATCATTCAATGCCAACCATTCCTGAAGTTTACCTTCTGGGTTCACACCGATTATGACTTTAATCATCATTGTTTTAACCATTTCTAGAAACTTCAAAATCACCCACAGATCATTCGAGGTTATTTTTATCGATTCTAACTGAGATTTTTTTACCAGATTCGAAGGTCATCGTATCACGATGTGATCAGAGTGTCCGAGATTCAGAAATACTTGGACATCAGTTCAGTGCAGACTTACATTATCAACAGCGCAAAAGTTGTGTTCTTGAACGAACGTCCACAGCCGAGGCCCGGAAAAGGCGTTACCAATACCTGTGAAGTTTGTGAGCGAAGCCTTCTTGATTCCTTCCGATTCTGTTCACTTGGTTGTAAGGTAAATTCATCGATTACTGAGCTTAATTTTTGAAAAATCCTTAAAAATCCTCTGATTCCGTAGTTGACTTCTTATTTTGCGTGTACTCATCAATGGTGGCCATTGGCCATATTTTCCGCTTTTTTATTATTATAAATTACTCTATTTTTTACGATTATTGGTGATGGTTGTTGATGGGTTTTGCTACCGATTTTAAAATTCAAATCGGTGTTCCATAATTAAAATCTACAATCAGTATCAGAAACATTGAATGTGTAATTATTGAAAATTGACTATTTGATACGACATTGAATGAGTAGTTATTGAAATCAAATGGAAAAATCGAATTAATTTATTGTTATTTATTGACGTGATTGAATCTTATGATCGGTGCAGATTGTTGGAACGTCGACGAATTTCGAGAGGAAGAGGAAGATTTCGCCGGAGAAGAAGCATTTAATGATGGCAATCTCCGATTCAGAGGATTCTTACAGCAGCAGCAGCCATGGACGTCAGAGTAACCATAGCAACGGCCGGACCCACAGTTTCACTCCGTCAACGCCGCCGCCGACCGCCGCTAGCTTCAGGACGGCCAAGAGAAGAAAGGGCATACCTCATAGAGCCCCCATGGGTGGACTAGTCATAGAATACTAAACCACCCAGTCAACCCCCCTACACTTCTACTTAATTACCCAATGCCCCCCCCTTATACCTACTCTTTTCAAAACACACCCTCTTCCTAATTTCCTTGCATTAGTGCTTTTCACAAAGGCCGGTGTGACGAAATTTACCATTATGTACAAAGACGCACCCTATAGTTAATAGTAATAGTCTTGGAATAGAAGGGCAAAAAAGGAAACAAAATAAAAAAAATCAAGACAATATGATAAATTGTCTACAAGGTGTAAGTTGAATGGTATAGTAGTTTTGCGTTGTATTGGAAAATAAATAAACAAAGCTTCCATAAAATGTCAAATACTTTGGTTATATTTGTCAAGAATGTAATTATGTTTTTGTTTGACAATATACTTAGTCATGTATGACTAGATGTTTATAATATAATTGTATAACTTCCTTCTATTATAATGTTCAAGTTTAATAGGCAGTAATAAATAATTATGAATGTACAAGTGTTGATGCATGAGATACAAAGGCGACTAAATATAGAAAGTTTGTGTATGGACACGTAAGCCAGATGGGAATGGTGGGAAGAAAAAGGGTAAGAATGGTGGAGGTGTCAAGTGGGGGGAGTGGTGGCGGAATTTGATTGGTTAAGATAAAGTGATGTGTCTTGTTTGATGGAATCAGCAACAGTGGTGATTCATCGAATACTCGTATCTTAATCACACTTTCCTTCATTCTCCACCGTTGATGTCATCCGTTTGTTGTCCTCGTTGCGAGTGTTCTTTGGGATAAACTATTAAACTATTGACCACTTTGTTTTCTAAAATATATTATATTTCATGCGTGATGATTTAAATATTTATATTATAAGATATAGTTAATATTATTTAAGTGTTTTATTTGTATTTGTTTTATTAATAACAAGTTAACAACACATTTATATATATATATTTTTTACCGGTGATAGTGATATATAACTCATTACGACAGCATACTTTCATTTTCTTTTTGTGTATAGAGTAGCAATCGAATTTTAAAAGAAAAAGGAGATGAAAGGTCAAACATGGTTAGCCGAAGACTCTATGGTGGGTTTGTTGCAAATATGGGTGGCTGTTGTTAAAGGTCTCCCGACAATGTCGACTATTATGACCTTCAATCCTCCTAAAAAAGCCCCATAATCGGAGCAATGGATTGAAAAATCCACACTATTTGGGGAGATCAAGAGCTTTGAACACCTCCGTTCCGGCCCTTCAATCCTAGGCTAGATGTAGAAGGATTTGTAGATGTTAATGTGTTCTATGTAGGAGGCATGGATGTTCAAACAAAATTCATACCTTATGTTTTTTGTTTTGAACGGCTGAATAAAAAATAGATAAAAAAAAACATGCGACCCAAGCAAGAAGTTAGAGGAAAAAATTACAAAGTAGTGTTTAAAATGAGATTTTTGAGCCACAAATTCCAATCCAAATTGAACTTGTGCTTCATATAGATCATCCAACAAAAAGAAGAAGCTACAATATCATCAACTATTCTATTTTTTTCATCGACACTAATAGAAAACACAATTATTCCGGAAGTTCCATAAGTGCCACCAAGACATAGAAATAAGACAAAATTGCAAAAATGTCCATGTGGTGTCTATTCTTTTTGGGGTTTTAGTACAAACCATGGTTTTTTTGGCTTCGTGGTCTTTTTGAGATAGTTTCGTTGTGGATTTGGTCTCTCGGTAAACTGAAATGACTATAATACCTTGTGGTATTTATTTTTTCTTTTTCTTTCATTTTTTTAAAGTTTAATAATGTTTTATTCAATTTAATAATTAAAAAAATAAGAGGCTCTCTCTCTCTCTCTCTCTCTCTCTCTCTCTCTCTCTCTCTCTCTCTCTCTCTCTCTCTCTCTCTCTCTCTGCACATGGGTTAAAATCAGAACATATGAAACAGAGGTCGGAGTTGCAGGTTTCGCTGTCTCTACCTTTACTCGACTTCATCCCTCTCATCTCCGGTCTCTACCTTTCTCTGGTTCACACACGATCACCCTAAGTTCATCCAAACAAGATTTATAAATTTAGACCTCTCAGACAACAAAATTGCTGGAGAAATACCAAGTTGGATCTGGGTGGTTGGAAATGGAGGCTTTTCGTATCTGAACCTTCCTCCGCTTTTTGTCATTGACCTGCATTCCAATCGCCTCACTAGGGTGATTCCGGTTCCACCACAAGTTGCTACCTTCATTGATTACTCCAACAATCTTTTCAATTCTTCACTTCCTGAAAGCATTGGAGTAAACCTCATTTATGCCTATTTCTTTTCAGTTTCTAACAATTTACTCACTGGGGAATCTTGGGCTACTAAACCTGCCAATTGCTCAGATGAAGATCTAAATTAGATGCAAGCAAAAAACGAAATCAGATGAAGATCATCACCTCCTTCCCAGATTTGTTCGCCAAGGGCTTTTCAGATGGTAACTCAAGAATCGGAACCCTAAATTTGAATCAAAACTGAAATTGTGCATGTTTGTGTGTATTAATTCCCTCAAAAGGAACCAGATAGCGTGTTTATGTTTTTGTTTGTGTTTTCTCATTTCCGAAATTGATTTGTGTGTGTGTTTTTCTTTTTGGAGAGTGTGTGTTCTCATTTCTGGAAATCAATTTGTTTGTGGGTGTTCATTCCCCATAAACTGATTTGTATGTGGGTGTTCTTGAATGTCTTGTGTGGTATGAGTTGATTTATGGTACTTCCGTCTTGTGTACCAGAAGAACCGTTAGGGTTTTGTTTTGGAAGATGCTATTGGATTTGGTGGATATCGAGAGAGAGAGGTGGGTCCTCTACTATTTTTTTAATTGATAAAATAAATAAACAAATATTAAATTTTAGAAAAATGAAAGAAAAATAAAAAATAAATACCTCAATGGTATTATATTTATTTCAATTTCAATTTTCGGAGGGACTATTTTCACATACATAGCAGTCTAAAAGGACCACGAATCCAAAAAAGTTATGGTTTGGACTAAAACCCCAAAAAAATGCATACACAGGGACTATTTTTGTAGTTTTGTCTAGAAATAATGGCATCCAACACCCTCTTCCTTGCCACAGAAAGCCGAGAAGAATTAAAAAAAATCTAAAAAACATTAACATTTACCTAATTGGAAAAGTCCACATCACACCATCTACTCAAGAACAAAAAAACATCTTTCGCTACTTGACATACAAAAAAAATGTGATTCACCTCCTTTGCCTCATTATTGCAAATAGGACAAAGAACACGCAAAACATCAACAACATGCACAAGAAGATTATCTCTAGACATGAGCCGATTCAAGAAAAACCTCCATCTAAAAATGTTTACTTTAATTAGCATTAATGCATTCCATCATGTTTGGCATGTAGCTTGTGTCGAAGCATAGTCATCAATGAATATCCTTGTCTCCTTAAGTGTAAAATCGCCACCATTACTAAGGCCCGAAGACCAGTCATCTTTATGATCAACAAAAACAACCTCCCCCACCAAATCTTCTAAAACCGGGAGTTGTGAAAAGAGGGAAGCAACTAATATAGGTCGTCTCCGCCACTTCCAAGCACGAACTTCTCTTCTATCAACAATATAACAATCGACATTAGAATCCAAAACAAACAAAAGATGAAACATCACTTGTAAGGTACCAGGTCCAATCCAATCATCTTTCCAAAACATTGTTTCTGAACCATCTCCAATCTTCTTTTTAAGAATACTCAAAGGAAATATCTATCTATTATGCAGTTTAAGGATTAAATCCACAATAGAAGGCCACACCCTCGAACAACGTACCCTTCTCGAACCCACAATAAAACCGCCAGAGTGTCCATGAATAGAACATATAATTCTAACCCACATCATATCAAGATTTTTAAAAAACCATCATCTCCACTTTAATAACAATGCATCAATAAAAGATAAAATACTCCAAATAGACAAGCCCCCAAGATGTTTAGCAGCTAGAACATTTGACCATTTGACCCACATAATTTTTTTGAATCAATATCATAACCCCAAAAAAGTTAACTTTCCCCGACTCCAGATTGTTAGCAATCGTAACTGGCATCTTAAAAGCGAACAATAATAAATATCCAAAGACCATACACATCACGAATTAGAGCATATCTGCCCCCTAATCGACAACATCTTAGCCCCCTAGCCTGTCAACTAAGATTTAAACTTATCTAAGAATTCTTATCGAATACATAATACTAGGAAAATGGTTCAAGTGGCTGAAAATTGGTGATCATGAAGAGTTAAGATTTGAACGATTGGCATGGCTAAAAATTATGGGTCTTCAGCTTTATCTATGGGGACTCAGATAAATTCAACCTGATTGCAAATAACTTCGAGTAAATGGTCGAGACAGCTGGAATTTTCTGGGACACTGCCAACCTCTCCTATGCGAAGATCGATATTCTTACATCCACAAGGAAATGGATAAATGATGAAATCATTGTTATGGTAAGAGGCAAGTCGTATAGAGTTGGTGTCATTGAAGAAGACGATGAGTGGCACCCGTTCAAGATTAATCTGAACGACAATAATTCAAAATCATACAACACTACAAACAAAATTACATTTAGTGGCACAAGTTTTTAGTGGCATAAATTTTTTTATGTCACTATAGAATGTTTTTAGTGACACATAATTGTTTTTGTGCCACTGTATAATTTGGCGATTCAATTTTTGGTTCCCTCCTAATTTTGCTTTTACGTCCCACTTTTCAAAGAAGCAAAAAAAATGCGGCTACTTCAAATTCTATACTCTTTTAGCGAAAAAAAAAAATTAAACAGTGCAAAATATTTAGGGCAAAACTGATAATCTCTCCCTCACTTCATCTATCGTCCGCCCTACCCCCTATTCTCTCAACCCCTGGTCATCACTCCATCTCCGTCGTTCATTCACCGTCAAGCCTCTTCGTCTCTCAATCACCGTCAGCCCCTCGTCGTGGCTGTTGCCTCCAACGTTGGTGACCACTTGGATGAATCTACAGTAGGAGAGGGATATGTATGATATGTACCATCAGAGGGAAAGGGGTTACAAATATCGAAGCATGGGTATGTCGATAGCAAGCAAAATTTCTGATTTTGATTCCCATTCACTTAAATAGTTGCCCAAATTATAGGATTTTGAAGTGTGCGGCGAAACCCTAGTTTTGGGTTTGAGGTCATCTGATTTATAAAGGTATCACTGTACCTCTCCATCTTTTCATTTTTTTCTCTTTTGTTGGCATGAAATTTTGAATCAATTGTGTATTGGAAAGTAGAGATAGTTCTTTCTTCTATTTTCATATAAAGGGCAGGAATGAAAATATGGTTTGAATTTTCATCTACTGAATATCTTGCTGCAGTAGAAAAAT